TAGGCTTGTAACATACAGAGTATGGCAATTTTCCAAAAAAAACGGCTGACCGATGTAAGTACTGATGCTCGAGACTTGGAAAGGTCAAGTCTCTGCACAACCCTGCAGAAGGAAAAAGGAACACTTGATAAAGCAGGATGTTCATTCACTGAAACACAGCCAATAAGAGGGGGCAGGTAAAATAATAAGTAGCAACTAAATCTTGGAATTGTTACATGTACAAGTTTGGGCATTATTTCTAACTTTGGCTGAAAGCTAATAAATGTCTGGTCTCCTTGTCCTTGACCACATCCCAGGCCAAGTACACTTCTGTCTCAGTGTTATTAACACCCCCAAGGAGTTTTGAAAACCCTAAACTTCCAAACCTGAAACCTACCGAAATTCCTAGCAAATACGCGTTTCTATTCTGTGAAGTTAAGTTACTTCATTGCCTAGATGTGAGAAGTTCTAGGCTACAGTACTGCCAATATTGATTGAGTGCAAAATTTTAGTGCTGCGATTTTATAATGCTTCGAGGCACTGACAACAAAGAAGAAAGAGAAATTGCTTTGTCACCACCAGGGTCATTTGTCACTACATGTCAACGTTTTATCAAGAGAGAAAATAAGAAGCTCAACGCATCAGCACTTGTGAACTTTCCCATTGCTACATGACGCAATTTGGTTCCACAAGAAAAAAATAATGCTGATATGTTAACCAAGGATATAAATGCATGATGACAATCATCGAAGAGTATCTAAAACTTCTGCTATTTCGATTCCTTGTGAAACAACGAGGCCACCGAAATCTTCTCTTCCTTGCTTTAACATTCTGCAACTATTTAGGCTGGTGAACATTTCTCCACCAAGGGCAAGGAAATATATAGAACTCCAACGCAGACAATCAGAATTTTCTTTCCAAAATAAAGAAAACTAGAAGTGACGAGATTATCAAACAAATGTTATTTCTCAGCAAACGCTGAGACAAAAGATTATTATTCAAACAAGCACCGGCAATAAGAGAAGTTAAAAGGTACACATTTCATCTTTATGAAAGAGAAATTGGGGAAGAAAAATAAAAGCAAGCTACCTCCTATCATTAGCAAGTGTCAACAGAAGCAGTTCCCCTGCTTTTGCTGACAACTTGGCCACATCATTTGTTAACCAAGTTGCATTGGCAGAGTCGAGCTCCACATTGAAACTTGATCTGGACATTTCCTGACTGGAACGAAAGCAATTACGATTTCGATATTAGAAAGAACTTAGGTGCCCCATGCAATAGGTCGGAATCAAATGCAGGGCATGTGCATACTTACTGCAGAAAAAACACGAGTCAAACTCCCCGTCCCTCCCGTCACCCCCGCAGAAGCAAAAGTCACTAACTCAGTAACAAAAAAAAAATAACTACAGGAAAATATAAAAACAAACAAAATCCACAGCAGTGTCAATGCAATAGAAAGGTTTACCTGACTAGGATAATGAATAGTATTTGCACTAACTACAAGAACTCCACCAATTGGAGATGGCACTGCAAGAAGCTTGTATGCATCATGTGGAAGATTCTGATAAGAAGAAAGAGCATATCAAATCCAATCTGAATGCAAGCACTCTACACTGCAATTTAGAATAAGTTAAGACCCTGTTGTTTGACTTGTTCCTATATATATTGTACATTAAATACGCCAACACTATCAGGATTGTGACATTCGAGAACATTGTTATATCTCCAGTGAAACCAAATTTCAAACTTGGGCTTCAAATATCATGATGCTTGGGTGTAACATCAGCATAAATTTTGATAAAGTTCATGATCCTTTCACACCCAATATGACACTAAAACAAAATAGCAAAACTCGTAGTACGCAGCCATGCCTTCCAGAAATTTAATCATACTTCGTCAGTCAATTGCCGAGATTTATAACACTTGGCATCATAGAACATATTGACATGTCAAATTATGGAATAACAAATGGCCGTTAAGTAAAGAACTCTTGTTGTTTTTACTTTCTTTTTCCTTTTTTTTGCTCCTTCATCACCATAACCTTTCTTCCTATAACTGATAAATTCTCATAAGCAAGCAATCCATCATTTCAACAAGCACAAACAGAACTCTTGTGCTGCATGTCAAGAAAAATCCCAGTGTTCGACCATCTTGAAAACAGAAATATCAGGAAAAAAAATCCAAACTTTGTAGTTCTAATCAATCTTTGTTTTGTGTAAAACGAAAACTGATAAAACATATAATGTTGAATTTGACATGACACAATCAAAACCCATTTTCAGTTAAGACGTACTTACATCATGCAAACGTCAGGCAACCACATAATCAATGACTAAGCAGGTTTATCTCTCAGAAATCTCATCCCCGGTATATTAAGGAAAATATAAGCAAGGCACACATGCTTATTGTCAAATAAGCGTTTGCTGTGCGAGTTTTTGATATTGTGGTTCTATGACATTCTTAAATTTCAAGTAGCACAAAATGGAGACATAACTGATAATGAGGAATCCAGATTTAGCATATAATTTGCACTAGAATATGATCCTTTAACGAGGTTCAATTGCAGCTTCAATGTTAAGTGAAAATATAAAATTCCGGTTAAGTAATTAACAGGCATGTTTCCATCAGAAATACAACTTACAGAGGCTAACCATATGAGTGGATGTTGCTTCAATGTTGTGTTGATACTAAGTGCTGAAATCATACACGTATGATGTTTCCACAAGACACGCCCAGCCCAAGTAACCTCTCGTTCGTGCAGGATAGCCATCACCGGCTCAATATAACCTATAAAAGCAGTGATGCAAGTCAAATACCAAAATTATTTCCGACATGCCAACCACTTAACAATCTTTTAACTCAAACCACCGTGAAGTGAATACTTATGTATGTTTAAAACTAAAACTAACAGGAGTAGTTGCTCTGTTGTCTCACCATTCACGAAAATAAAATCCTTTACATGCTTCATATCCAGATCCCGTAAATTGATGATGTATGATGACTCGATACGAGAAGACACGGTGGGTCCGGCACTAAAGGCTTTGTCTTCACCAACCAAGCTAGAACCAGCCTAACATCCAAAATACCAGAAATGGAATCAAACATAAAGAAATCAAAAATTGGAAAATAAAGTGAAAAACAAATACGTAGTGTAACATAAAAACATGACTTGCTTTAACACAATGCCAGCCATGTTTAGTGTCCACATGCACCAGCGACGATAACGTGAGCAATAGAGGGAGACCCAAATTAAGTTTAAGAGAGATCATAAAAAGGACATGATAGTTGTTTGATATAGCATAATGGTAAAATGTCCAAAGTGTAATGCTGATAAATAAAGCCAAATCCTGTTTTACCTTTATCAGCTTCTGGCTGGTTACTGCTTATAGATTACAACCAAGGAAAGAATAAGAGATCTGATCAAAAGAAAGCCTAAAAAAAAGGATATGAGCTCATCTCCAGATCTCTGACCAGATCATAAAAGAATATAAGCATGTTTCCAGAATTCACTGCAATGAGTATAAGTAAAATCATATGAAGGTTTAGAGAATCTTGGACAAAAGGGTGAGAATTGCCAAAGCATGCTAAATTTATATATTCAAACATATGACATATGTGTACAAAAACAATTGTAGCATCTTAGATATAGAGGAACAACAAGGGCTATCAAATGGTCAAACTAAGATTAAGCATCCAATCTGAGTCAAATAACTTACATGATGGATTATCCAACACAACGCATCAATATTTAACTTGTGACTTTTGATTATAACTGAACCAAATTCAGCTGCAAATAGACTCAATCCACGTGGAGGTTCATATAGATCAACAAAATTCTGTAAATTCTTTTTTTACCTACTTCATACATCTTTACCAGAACATAATATTATTCTATTTTTATTATTTTTTCCGCAGATACCATAATGCATTGCATTACATAATTTTCTCCTAAAAGTTATATAGACAATATATTTGGATTCTTGCCAAGTCAAATCTCAAATTCATGATAGAATTCAAAGTTTGTTATGATCACCAAAGGTCTCTTGGATTCCATTTTGAACTTGAACTTTGGATTAAGTACTGCAATTAATCAAAGAGAGATTAAAAAGAAAGCAAGGGTGCAAAGAAATACTAGTAGTGGGGCATGAGAAGAAGACCTCAGCAGCCTTAAGTATTATCATCTGGAGGCCATAAATATGAACCCCAGCACACCTTCCTTGTGGATCAACTTTAACCACTGGACCTCTAGCAAACGATTCTCTACCTCTTTTCAGATGAAGCCACTCTGGACCCTCAAAACAGTGCATGGAGCTAAGCAAAAGGATAAACAAGTATCAAAAAAATATTAGCTTTGTAAACAAACTAATATCTGTAACCAACTGCACAAGGGAGAAGTGGGGAGAGGGGCTTTGTTCCTTGAGAAACTGATACACGAATCCACAGTATTCCAGCAATAAAAGGCAGAAACTTTGTTGGAAGGAACATTAATAAACGTTGTTTGAAGATCAACTTAGCATCTTTGAGCCAAGCCAATATTAGCGGACGGACGGCCCAAGGATATTTTAAATATTAAATATTTTCCATTTCCTCTATAATATTTTAAATCTTAAATATTATTCGCTACCACAAAGAGAGAAAAATATTATAAAATCACGGTATTTTGGTAGAAAACTCCACAAGTTAGCTTGTAATTTCCTGGTGCATAAAATGGAACATAATACACCATCCGCTGGTAATAGAAGCACAAACTAACAGCAAGACTAAAACTATAAATGACAAAAATTGAAAATAAATGGTTATAGACTGGTTGTTCCTTCTATTGCTACAACACAATAGAGACATCCCATATCAAAGAGCATCTCCAACTGTGGCCAACACAAATTTTCTTTATTTTATAACACTGTAAATAATCCCAATCAATGAAGCCTACTGAGGATGGCCAAAAGTTCATGGATCAGCGATGTGTAATCTCCATCTGAGTCGATAAAGTATATGATTGCAGAACCACTCAACATTGGCCTTTAGGAGAAAAGCTTTCTGTATTCATTTGCTTCTTGAGCCATCTCTTCAAGGCTTCTGTCCTTCCTTTCCTTATCCAAGTCAAGCTGCTGCTTTAATTCATTCTCCTTCACGTCTATCTGCACCATGAAAAAGAAACAGGCAATAAATTAAATTTCTTCAGCTCAAGGTTAACCTGGAAATAACAAATAGCGCAATCGACAAGATTCTCAATCTTACAGCATCATAAATTTCATCATTTTTCTCAAAGTCACCACTTTTGCGTGGGAGTATGTGGATATGAACATGAGGAACTGTCTGTCCTGCCTGAGGCCCGTCCTAAGGCATCAACAAATGTCAAGAAGTTAACAACAAAAAAACATCACTAGAAAATTATTCCTTCCCCAGCAGCAGAAACAGTCAGAGAAGGATTTCTACAAAAACTAACACAAAAATCACTGGAGTACGTAAATACTTGCGGCACATTAAAATGTTCTCATTCTTGTTAATTGATACTAATGAAGGCAATAATGCCATGACAGTGACTTTGCATATTGCGAGGCAGGGGGTTCAGATCCAGGAAGGGTCTCAAACATTTATTTCGCAACACAGGACAGAATTTGTTTGCTTGATTTTGTTAGCTTAATTGGTAACTAGAGGCTTGAAAATATCAGCCAAGGCAAAACACAACAGTTACGCTTTAATCCACCAGGTTCAATGCTCTTTGAAGCAGTTCAACTTATGGATCATCATTCTTGTACCTTTTGTATTTCTGTAAAACCCTTCAGACAGCAGAAGGCAATAATTAACTTAACATGTCCCAAACAAATGAAACAGTAACATTCTGATAAAGCTAAAGACTGATTGCTTTATCAGATGTTTAACCAAAATAACATCATCTTTAACTATTTTTCAAACCAGTACAACCTAGAATGCCAGTTGCAGATTATACTGTATTATCTCTTTCATTATTATTATCACAACATCAAGTATGTGACATCAATTTGAGTTATGCAACTTTTCTCTCTTTTTTATGAAGTGTTTCATTTGGATTGGTTCACGCCAAGATACGGCATCAAAAACAGTAACTGACTACATTTCATATGAAGGGGAGTTTTGTCACCCCAAAAAAAGTCAAAAAAGGTGACAAAATGTCTAGTTAGTAAATCCCAAATTCTAGGTTGCAGATCCACATATTCAAATCTGCTTTTGCGAAAATTGTTATTCAACTCTGGGAAGATGTAGACTTAACAGAAGGCATCCAGAAAATATATGATGAAAAGATAGGCAGAATTCAAAAAACTAACTAATGATTGACATTCCAACAGTGCAGCTGTCTTACTTGGATTGCAAATGTGAGGGAAGATGCCTTGTGGAGCGACTCAAGTCGACCACCAACTTTTTGCGCTGTAAGCCATAAATCATGAGTCTCATCAGCAGTCAGATCAACAAAGCGCTTCACCTCACGCCTTGGGCAGACAAGCACATGTATATAATGTCAAGGCAATCACATGATGGGATTAGGTTCCTAACTGAACCGTGCAACAATACCTCCACCTTAAATATGAGGCATGTAGGCACACATAACCATTTCGGTTTCAATGATATTACAGCTGTCAATTGACAAAAGCAATTAAATATTGTAGACACTAATGCAAATAGTCAGGATTTGATCATTCCCCTTTTGGCAAACACACCGCAGCCTCGGCAAAAAATCATTATATGCAGCCCACAGCAGCATAATGGCATAGGCAAACAAGCATACAAAAAATTCTCATAAGGTCAACGAGTGACAAGAAGAACGCCCTAACTTTAACTCACACATGGTTTGTGTCCATGCGCCCATACATAACACATGTATGTGCAGGAAGAATAATAAAACAAACTGCCCTGCTATACAAGTTAGAACTTACTAGTAACACATTCCCCACCCAAATTCCATTGAATTATAATCAGCTTCAATCAAAAAGTAAGTTTGCCATGTAACTAGTTTCCACTTCACAATGCTGACACTGATATTGCCCCTGCTGCCATGATAGCTAAAGTAGACATAAACTAACGTACAAAATCCTCACACAACCAGCTTATGAGTGTTCGTATATCTCTTACATAAGGAGATATGTGCCCATCTAGAACGACGTGAATGATTGTGCCACAGCATAACTGTTTGCCGTGGATTGCATACCGTCAAGTGACAACAAAGGTATTACTGTGAACATTTTTCCGATTACATGTGGAGGCTACAACAAATTACCCAATTTAACCCGGATAAAAATGTATAATGCTAAAATAATTAGAATCAATTCCATATTTCTTTCCAACATAGACAAAGCAAAGGATATGACCTGAAAAGAGAAAAGAAAATAGATCACAATCAAAGAAATTACTAGAGAATGGGAATAGTAAAAAAAAGAAAAGAAAATGAACAAAATGCTTTATTAATGGCTAATACAGGGGATGGGCTCATTTCGCCAATCAGAAGGAATAACAGAGAGAATAAACATGAATACATGCAAAATGATCAACGAAAAAATGAGAGTTTAAGAAGTCCTGGATCTGTATAATTGTGTATGATGTGTATGCTTTGTGTCTGTCTATGTCTGTTTTCACACACATGAATG